ACTAAATATGGATATAGTTTTTTATCCGACATTTATCCATTTTAAATATACTAACCTCACTCGTTTCATCAAAGAAGAACCCATCCAGAGGACCTATACAATTTTTTTCCTTTTGACTATCCTCACTCCTTTGTAACAACTAAGGCAAAAATGTAATTAATTCAGAAAATCTTTTCAGGACCCCACCTTGATGTTTCGGGACCCCACTTTGGGTCCCGACCCCAACTTTGGGAAACACTGCCCTAGCGCATCATTTGTTTGGAATACCAAACAAAGTTTCCTCAGAAGAGATGAACTAATGCTTAGTCAGACCATGACCAAAATGAAATGCATTTGCTCATGTAAGTGTAAATGGAAAGGAACACAAATGAGAAAATATTAATGGTGTTTTAACACTGCCATTTTTTACAGTGTTAAAACAACAACAAAGTACTGATCACACAAACCACTATAAATGTATTTCTTTAAGTCAACAGATAAATGCATGAGTTTGTAGAGGTTAGCTCACTGAAAGAAAMCCGTTATCGACACACAAAACCTGACTTGGTGAATCTCTAAAAATGACCAAAACAAGCACAATAAATTACAGACCAAAGGCAAGAATATTAAAAATGATTCTGTGTGTGGGAAAGCAACAAGAATTCGCTCTCACCTGTATGGTTTTGCGTTGTCACTGTCAACTTATGGGGAACTCGAGGTGAGACCTGCAGTCCTGCTCTAATCTGATAAAACCTAATGCAACAAAACACAGAACAACAAAGACAAATGTAAAAAGACACATGGGAATTTTCCATGAGAAAGTGTGGGGTCTGGACMCCCTACAGTTATGAAAAATAAAGATTGTACCCCACAATAAATAAACTGAGGGAACTATACTTTTAAGTGATATAAAGATAAGAAAGTATATCCACCATTTATAGGGGCAAAATATTTATGCCCTCCACCCCATCAGCCTCAAGTCTTTAAACATCAGATTAGTGAGCATTCACGTGTTGCATTTGGAGACTGGGGTTTAATCCCCAGTGACAATTTGGTTTTACCACTCAAAATGAAAGGTCAAAGAAATATTACTGTTGCCATCTACAAAAACCTCATATATGTTAAGGGGATGTCTGTTTAGAAAGAACAAGCCATGTTGGATCATCTCAGTACGCACACTTATGTATAAACTGTTGGTAGTACATGAGTGAAATGCTGAACAAAAACAGGTTAAAGTCATGAKGAAGGGAGAAAAGGTCACAGTGTTTTACATTGAGTTCATCAGTGTTCATCTGATGGTTTGAGTGTGTCATCTGAAAACAAGGTGCCATTTTGAGAAGAAATGACATTGTGTTGAATGAAAAGCTTCCTGTTGCAGTAGAAATGAGTGGTTTTGCCCACTGTGCATGTGTGATTTCTGGATTTGTGTGTTGAGTTCTGAGAACATCAAGCATGCTTTCAGCATGCCCCCGCCCATATTTATTTGGATTTTTAAGTCTAACTGTGCATGGGAGATCCCTGAGGTCATCAAATCAATTTTATTAGATCTTGCAAGAACAAGGCTAAAGCATCAGGGGTGACTGGGCCTTTTCAGTGGCAGGACCCAGACTCTGAAGCAAACTCCCTCTAGTTTGTTCTTTTTCCTGTAATCGAAAAGAAAAAAATCATTAGGTCCTCTGGATGGGTTCTTCTTTAGTGAAACGTTTCGTCTCTCCTCCAAGAGACTTCTTCAGTCTGATGAGTTTCAGGTGAACTCAGCCTTATAAGCACTGCCTCCACATGGACAAACAGGTTAGTCACATGCAAAAGAGGGTCATCGCCTAACAATAGGCTTTATTAGTTATATTGTTCATAGAGGGTCAGAGCAGTGTGGTTTTCGTCCTGGTCGTGGAACACTGGACCAGCTCTACACCCTCARCAGGGTCCTGGAGGGTGCATGGGAGTTCGCCCAACCTGTCTACATGTGTTTTGTGGACTTGGAGAAGGCGTTCGACCGTGTCCCAAGGTGGGCCTTGTGGGGGGTTCTCCGGGAGTATGGGGTACCGGGCCCTTTGATACGGGCTGTCAGGTCCTTGTACGACCGGTGTCAGAGTCTGGTTCGCATTGCCGGCAGTAAGTCGGGCTCGTTTCCGGTGAGAGTTGGACTCCGCCAAGGCTGCCCTTTGTCACMGATTCTGTTCATTACTTTCATGGACAGAATTTCTAGGCGCAGCCGAGGTGTTGAGGGGATCCGTTTTGGTGGCCTTAGGATCGCATCTTTGTTTTTGCAGATGATGTGGTCCTGTTGGCTTCATCGGAACGAGTTCTGCAGCTCTCGCTGGAGCGGTTCGTGGCCGAGTGTGAAGCGGCTGGGATGAAGCTCAGTGCCTCCAAATCCGAGGCCATGGTCTTCAGCCGGAAAAGGGCAGAGTGCCTTCTCCGGGTCAGGGGGGTCGCCCTGTCTCAAGTGGAGGAGTTTAAGTATCTGGGGATCTTGTTCACGAATGGGGGAAGAACGGAGCGGGAGATCGACAGGCGGATTGGCGCAGCGTCTGCTGTAAAGCGGGCGCTGTACCGGTCCGTTGTGGTGAAGAGAGAGCTGAGTCAGAAAGCGAAGCTCTCGATTTACCGGTCGATCTACGTTCCTACCCTCATCTATGGTCATGAGCTTTGGGTCATGACCGAAAGAACGAGGTCCCGGATACAAGCGGCCGAAATGGGTTTCCTCCGCAGGATGGCTGGGCTCTCCCTTAGAGATAGGGTGAGAAGCTCAGTCATCCGGGAGGGACTTAGAGTAGATCCGCTGCTCCTCCACGTCGAGAGGAGCCAGTTGAGGTGGCTCGGGCATCTGGTAAGGATGCCTCCTGGACGCCTCCCTGGTGAGGTGTTCCGGGCACATCCCACCGGGAGGAGGCCCCGAGGAAGACCCAGGACACGCTGGAGGGACTATGTCTCTCGGCTGGCCTGGGAACACCTTGGGGTTCCCCCGGAGGAGCTGGAAGAAGTGGCTGGAGAGAGGGAGGTCTGGGCCTCCCTTCTGAAGCTGCTGCCCCCGCGACCCGACCCCGGATAGGCGGAAGAAAATGGATGGATGGATGGATGGATGGATAGAGGGTCATGTGTCCCATCACCTGACCCGTGTCGTGTTATGTGAATGTAGTGAACGCAAGCGGGGGTTCAATGTCCCCTTGTTTTTGTCTCTATTTCCCTCTTTGTGTTGGTGTCACAAAGAGGGAAAGGTGGAGGCAGTGCTGAGTTCACCTGAAACTCAGACTGAAGAAGTCTCTTGAAGGAGAGACGAAAAGTTTCATTAAAGAAGAACCATCCAGAGGACCTACTTATTTTTGATTTTTGATTTTTTCTAACTGGATKACTGAGATGCATCAGGACACTTTTTACTGTAAAGAGCTTTTGTCACCTTAGTTGGCTGTTGGTAAGCGCTATATAAATCAATGAATTGATCTTTTACTAAAACACATTTTGACCTGTGATTCACATGGGTTCCACAGTGATAAGCACAGGTAGCAAAAGTGAGACATAAATACTTTTAGAAAAAAATGGGAGGGTTGGATTGAATATATAAAACAGTTAAGAGTAGAGTGGATTTAAAGGATTCCTTTCTTTTTTTTTTTTTTGTTATTAGTAGATTCTTGGCCACGATAGGCAAACCCAAATGTTTGTGTTTTTCTTTTGTTTTGCGCTGTTTCCTTGTCGCTTGTTTTCTTTTGCTTTTTTTTTTTTCAAATTCTAGCTATTATGATCTGAGGATTTTTACTGTGTATGTGTACAAAACATAAAATAATGTTCTTAGTCAAAAACTCAAAAAAAGTCAGGTAAGATACATTTCTGCAAGGAATTCTAGGCCTTTGAYTTTRTTTTTAAATTCGACTCATCGTTTTGAATTTCAGATGCATTTATATACAACAGGTATAATCTGCTTACCCTCTCTGAAAAAGGTCCACATTGTGAAACTTGTGCAATTCTAGAGAAAAATCCAGTGTTGCTTGGACCTCAGACATGATATAATCCCACTCATCACCTGAAAAAAAGAAAGAACAGTAAATAAGGCATAATAAATGGTGAAACATTTAAAACTAGTTCTTTTGTTTTTTTCCTGCTGTTTTCTATTGTAATGTGACTCATTCAGTCCAACAATGACTGAAAAGGCATTTTTGTCAAAATATCAGACAGTTCATGACTCATTGATTAAATAATATAAGAACAAAAGTGTGCAGCAGCAGTTTTTCTATGAGCTACAGTATATARGATTGCTTCTCTTGTTTGACGTGATGTCATGATGTCAAACATGAATACATGTTGTTAAATTTGCCTCATATTCTAGAATAAAGTGTRTAATGACATCCAAAAGGAAAAACTCTCAACCAAAAAAAAGATAAAAACATCCTCATCTGTCAGTGGACATAATGCAGACGAACTCAACACTTGAAAAATCTAAATAAAGACAAACAAAGCAAAAAGTGACAAGTCAGTAAAACATACAAAACAGGAGGTRCACTGGTCACAAAACAACACAAAGAGGACGACTGAGGCACATGGGAAACCAGTGCAAAGGTCTGCTGGGGAAGTGATGACATGTTAAATACACAGAGGAAGAGTGGAGATAGACAACACCTGAGACTGTTAACCAAAAATTGGTGAGAGGCAAGAAACTGATGAACACTAAGGGATCAAGAATTGATCTAATAAAATAGAAACAAACAGAAAAGTATCTGAACTTAACATAAAACATGGATCACAGAAAAAGAAAAACTGGAAAATGCATGAAGTAACAAATAAATTCACATAACCACTAAATTAAACAAATAAAAAACRCCCACAGGACTTCACCTTGGTAATAGGTCTGAGTTGTCCAATTTWAAAGCATTATTAAAAATGAAACCCAAATTTCTGACAGCAGAACAGCTGTATAAAGCCAGAGGACCAAGACTGTCAGGAGAAATGTTTTAACCAAAGCTGATGGCTTGTTTTACTTTTATTTAGATTCAATGGGGCTCAAGCAAGAACATGTTCATATTCTTATCCTAAATTTCTCTTACTTTTGTTCGTACAAAGGGTTCGTACGAACATGTCACGTCAGATTCAACAAACTCTTCTATCT